CCCCAAAACCCCAAAACCCCAAAACCCCACTTTCAAAAAAAAATATAGATTTTAGATAAAAAGACCAATATTAATTTTAACAAATGGATTTCGATTGAGGAAGGTAAAAGTCTAAAATTTAATCTCCTCGCATGCACTATCTCTCAAGCTATAAATCCAGTTGCCCAGAAACATGGTCATAGACTCCAAAAACACAAATTTCTCAATAAATGATTATTTCCCTAAAAATAAGCAGGAGTGGGTTATTTTTTGCCCTATAGATTATCTGGGGCTACCAACTCAACCTCTATACAGTAATGCCTAAACTTTGAGGCCTTAAATATCCCCAAGAATTAGCTCTAAATTGCACATAGCTCTGTAAATTCCAGCAGAGAGTTTGAAGATTTTGGAACCGAACAAGAAGTCAGCAAGGCCAGGAAGAATAAAACAAGTTTATTCAGTAAGAATTCATGTTATAGTAATTTGAGAACTTAAGCGAAGGATTTCAATGGGGTTTGGGAGACACACACTTTTGAAGATATTGAGTTTGAGTGCAATTTTATTGATGTATAAAAGCCAAAATTTATATGATGGGTTTGAATTCAAGAGATTAAATAGAAATTATCTTACAAAATATGAACTCAGGCTTGATAGAGAATTGAAGGGAGGAGTTATAGAATCTAAATATAGTTACTTAATTTTTAAGATAAGCCTGAAAATCAAGGGATCGTAACTAAATTTGTGTTATTTCAACCATTCTTACTCCATTTCACTATTTTAGATTTTTTATCCGAAATTTAGGATGAATAATGTTTTATTTAGACACAGAAAGAACAGTGAGTGAAAATTTGCTGACTAAATAACTTCTCTGAGAACATCATAAGACAAATTGAGCCTAATACAAGCACAATTATAAAGCTTAGCATGCCAAGATCGGATTCGGATCATCTTAAGAAAAATATTTTAAAAATTGTTCATACTGATACTGATAGAACGAATTTTCTTAATTTTCTGATTCTTATCTCTTCTCTTTCTCAAGTGAGCTTTAAAGGAATTAGCTGAGCTGAGAAACTTGATACGAAACAATCTAAGACGGAAGGGCTCAATGATGCAAACATCCAAGGAGCAGTTGACCACTGACTCCACATCTCAAGTTCTTTCTGATTAGATTTTATTCTTACATTACTGAAACAACACAGTATTGAGCCAGTGGTAGGAATCAGAGCTCTCTCAGCAACAATACAAAACTTGGAATTACACTAGCTAGACGAAAGGTCTCAAACATCATTCGAAGCCAAGATCATATCTTCATGGAGTCGCAGTGTAAGTTGACTTGCCTTCAAGTGTAGTTTATTCTTTGCATAGAAAGACCAACCTGACAACACAATAGTCAATAAAAGCTTACAGATATTGCAGATGTTGGTCCAAAAGCACAACTGCATCTTGAAGTATGGAGAAGAGCACGAAACCATCACTGACATTCTCAAGTGATGATACCAAGAGCTTGGAAACCAGCACAGGTAAATCATTCAGTAACTCCAAAGCTTGTGATATAAGTCCAGAAATCACAGACACAACAGCAACGAAGACTTACTCGACCAGTCCAAGTCACAGTGATACGATTGATTTGATAATGGAGACTTCTCTGTAGCCATCAACGACGAGTCCAAGCTTGATGAAACACTTCAGCGGTTCAACAAGCACGTGCACTCTCGCACCCAGGTGCACGACGACTTCATCAGAGATGCTCCGAAAGTGGACTTCAGCAGACTCAAGAAACTGAACACCCTCAGGATCCACAAGATCCAGCAGATCATGGAAGCCGACTACAAAGTGCAAGGAGTCAAACTCTTCGACTTGCACCTGCTCAACATGAAGAAGTATTGCCCATGTGACCTTTAGCTCCCAGACCAAGTACCTCCAGCCCAAAGACGCCATCGAAATGGCCATCATTTTCTGTTTGTTTGATGGGTAAGCTGTTTCATAGCTTTAGAGACCAAATTCACAGACTGGCTTCCCTCGTTTACTCTTGGACCGAACAACAGCAGTCAGAAGCCAACTCAAAGTTCCCGATTAGCGTTTACAAGCTGATGCTGTTTTATGAAGAACTAGATGCTTTTCACAAAATGTTCAGTTAAGAAACTTTCAGAGTCAACAAAGTGAGGATTGTGTCTGAAAGCCTGTCATATTCTCTGATTATCAGCAATCCGATGTTGGCTATCTACCTGGCCAATATCTATCCAGAAGAGTTGTTTGAAAACAAGAGAGTGATCATTGACGGAATACTGATTTACTTGAATGAGTTCACAGAACTCAACGGATCTACTAGATACAGGTAAGTTACTACCAGAGAGTTATTTGCTATTCAAAACTCACCAAAGTTAATTTCCATTAACAACGATATTATTTAGAAGAGTGAGACATTTCGAACAGTATTTATTTCTGATCGAGCGAGTCCTGGAGTTCTTCAGTTACTCCCAAGGCAAGTATCTCATCAACATATTCGACAGACTCCTTGATGTCGTACAGCCTTCACTCAACACAAAGTTTCCAGAGAACAGCAAAAACAAACAACAAAAACGAGTGCTTGACAACAATCAGAACAACTTCTTGGTGTATTCTCTGACTCCTGTCAAAGACTGCGTGCTCATCATGAATATTTGTTGTGTGCTCTAGAACTCTCATGAAGACTTGAAGTCATTCAGTAAGCCTGTGATCAAGAAGTACTCTAAAGTGGTCAATGCCATCGTTGACGAGACCGAGAGCATCCAACAAGTCTACCAAATATTCACCAACAAATGCTTCAATCGCAGAGCAGTTATCGACCTGGTCTCAAGCTGTGACCTGCAACTGGTGCTGAATAACTCAAAACTTGCAAAGATTGTTGAAGATTTCTGGGAAGGCCCCTTTGAAATAGAGTTCTTTATGAACCAGTCTTACTGTTACCAACAACTCCGCAACATGTTTATCGACTCTAAGCGGTTCTTCGGATTCAAGCCTGCAACCAGGTATCACTTTAGCATTGATAAGCTCTGGAGCAAACAGAAAGTGATCAGCTGGAAGTTCCTGAGCGAGATCGAGCAGCAGAGACCACGGAGAGCCCACTTCTTTCACTTTCAAAGGTGGGACAAGTCACTGCAAACCAAATATGTGCTGGAGGCATTTATGATCATTATCAGCTCAATCGCTGCATTTACTTTTGCTTCGGAAGCAATGGACTTCTTATAAAATCAGGATTTTTGAAAGCAGCAGAATTAGGACTAATAGGAGATGAACTGGAGGTTGAGGGCCTTACAGAATCTGAAACAGAAGCTTTGAGTCAAGAATTAATATCTGCTTTAGAGGATCTAGATGAGCAAGTCTCTAAATTTTTAGTTGCTCTTGACGAAAGTGTATTCGTAAGTTTTTATAAAATCTTTGTGTTTCATCGATTTCTAGCTGAATTGGATAATGTCAGTTTATCTTCTGAAAAATATCAAAGAATATATTTACATGGAGCTGAGGCATAAAGATACTTCAACTCTGGGCATTCAAACAACAATGAGTCTTGTATATTGCTTCACTCTTATTTGGATAAGCCGACTTCTCGTTTACTATGATGGGCTGTTCGACAAAAATGAAAAATTTTATCATGTCACTTTGATAAGTTATAGCTCAAATAAATTAGAAATATATTGTGTTTAAATATATTTCTCAATCATCCAATTCTATTCGCATTTTTGATATGAAAATGTTCTCAGAATTCTCTTTAATATAGGTTCAAGTTCGAATATCTGCTGAAATTTTTGAGGGGACTAGGATGACTTACCCTAATCATACTTGATAAGGATTTGGTCTCATTAGACTATCCAAAAAGAGCTAGATTCCAAAATATCTACTACTTCGACATGATAATATCTAAGGCAATTATGTTATCAAGTGAAAAGAAGTTGACTAAGCAACTATTTTCATTCAAGATCATTTCTATGAATAAGCAGCTCATCCTTATGGTGTAAAAATGCTAAAGAATTATGAGCGAGGTTATTATTTGACAATCATTAACTTAACACTGTAAGCCAGGATCTAAAATGTCTTTTATAGTATTCTTATATATGATAGAGAATGGAAGAGAATATGGTGTCCAGATATGACTTTCAATTTTACTTTCACTTCATTCCACCAGAGCTCTCTTTATTCTTAGAGCTTCTAAAACCTTTGGTCCCATGGTCGAAATCATCATGAACATGCTCAAAGAAGTTGCCAAGTTCACAGTCATCCTTATGAGCATCATCTTCATTTACATGAGCTCGATGCGTCTGATGTGAGTGACACTGCCTCAGTTCAGTACCAACACTCAGTCATTCCTGACTTTGTTCTCGGCCTCGCTAGCTTCGTTCGACTTCACCATTTACAACGAAGACATGGTTGTCAACAAGTGGTATGGGTACCTGGCCATGATCTCGTTCTTGTTGATATCGGCAGTGACGCTGCTCAACTTCTTGATCGGAATCATCTCCAACGTGTATAACAAACTCAGTGATATTAGCATTGGACTCTACTTGAAGTCGCTAGTCAAGGTCAGGCAGGTCTTGCAGGATGACTCCAGATACTCGTCACTAGTGTCGTGAGTGGCTCCGTTCAACCTGTTTGTGTTTCCACTGACACCCTTTGTGGTATGGTTCCAGAGCGAAGCACTGAACTCAGTGTTGCTACACTATGCTTACTTCTGGGTGCTAGTTGTTGCATTGGTGCTATATGTGTGTCTGAGTTTGGTGTCTATTCCAGTGGCATATTTTGTGATTCTTATCAGCCAGCTCAAAGTGCTCTGAGGCATCAAAGCTACAGCAAGACCCAAATGGATTACAGTGTGTGACATCTTCATTTTCGTTGTGTTTGGATTTGTGATTCTTGCTGTGAAAAATCTCTGGGACTGATGACTGTTTGTGGTTGATTTGTACAATCCTAATCTCATCAAGAAACATGAAGATGAAACATCATTTGAGAAAGTTGCTGGAGACTTTATTCAAGACATCGATGAACGCTCTTTCAAGTTCTTGCTGCTATTTCTGAAGCAATACAAGCACAAACACATTGCTTCTAAATCATTGATCAAAGACCTTGGTAGAACTCTAAAAACTGAGCAGTGACTCAGAAATCTCATATTTCAAGCTGAAAGTCCACGACTCAGAAGAGCTCACAGAAAGTATGCTGGATAATCATTGTATAGGAATATAATTGATGCTGGTGAGAGTGATAAAAATTTGCTCAGAGACAACGACAAAACTTTTGAAGAACTCACAAGCACAATCATCAACACTTACTCAGACAGAGAAATTCTCAGTCTGTACAATGTTCTGAAGAGGATCATCAACCGCTGCTCAATACCGAACAGACTTAAAGTAAGCTGCAGTCTGACTTTAGAACAACCACCAAAGTCTGATCCAGAAAATGTCCACATTCAAAGGTAACTGACTGCTAACTTGTAGACAACTTTGTAACTGACTTCAACTTATCATTGGTCAAACATGAGAGCACAAACCCATCCAATGACATCATGAAGAAGATCACAGAGCCAACATTCTACATTCAAGAGTTCATTGACATGATGAAGGAGCTCCAAGAAAAGCATGCCTTCGGTCAGATAGTTTATGGTACATTTGTTTGTAATTGGATAGCAAACACATTCGAAGCAATGGGAATCCACAAACTCACAAAACAAGGACACAGAACCCACAAGAAGCTCAAAACCCAGTGAGACCAAGTCAGTAAGGACCTCAATTTAAGCCCTAGATCAAAAACTACTACGTTTGCAGCACAGAACAAAGACTCCGACTCTTCAGGACCTAAAGTGCCTCAAAGTAGGAAGGAACTATCAAAGTTTGGTCAACTCCAGAGGAAATTAACTAACAAATTCAATTGAATTGGCAAGTCTTGGGGTTTTGGGGTTTTGGGGTTTTGGGGTTTTGGGG